TGTATATGATGTCTGTAAGGCTTTCAGTAAGGAGCCTCTTAATCTCCTAATCAACGGACTTCAGTCCATCGAAACTGCTGACCACCTGTTGCAATCGACTAGGTCTTTTCTCATGAATAGATATCATATTACTAAGATCAACACCACAACGCCTACATATCAATCAATTACCAGTGGTTTTTTGCAAGGCAATATATTGAGTCCACTGCTTTTCATAAACTACGTCACTAGCATATTAACTCGCTTCAACACAGCCAAGACCTGTCTGTACGCTGATGACCTAATGGTATTCTGTATAACTAACAAATGTGCCACTCGAAATTTTAGGCAATCAAGTATGAACCCAGTATTATAGATAACTTGTGTAAGTGTTTGAACATAGAACAGAATACTGGATCGTTATGTTTAGGAGACACTCTGCCAAAAGTATATCCTAATATCAGCAGAAATGTACCGCCTAAACGCACATCACTAAGCGATCTAGGAGTAAATTATTCGCACGGCTCAAACCTCTGTGAACATATTTCCAACAAAGTTTCCAGAATGAGAAAATTGCTAGGTTCCTTTTTCAATAATTTTCTTCACAGAGAATCCAGAACGATTCTTCACAAAACATGCGTCAGACCTGTTTTGGAATACTACTTATTCTTATTTTCCAACTTACTTCTATCTGATATGTTAAAGGTCGGAGGATTACAAAGGAATTTCATTCGTAAAAACGACTCTCATTGACGGTCTCACACTATATCATGAACTGGACTTGAATCACTCCGACAAGGAAGGCTTCAGACCAACCTAGTCCTTCAATTTAGGGTCCTGTACAATTTCTCATACTCATGTATACAAAACATTTGAAACAAAATATAACAAAACATAAGAAACATAAAACAAAAACTTGGATTAACTTCTTCCTCACTACGTATACATTGATATGGGACAACCAGCTCTCGAAAATAGGCGTGACTGGTGAACTAGATGCATTTATAATGTTTCTTAATGTAGCCCCTGGTTCTTCTGTACTCGTGAACTAATTCGGATCCTGCATCAGACCATTAGATCTTTACACGTCTGAACTACATCTAATTCAGATCTGAATGTTTGTATGTGTTAAGTTCCTCTAGTTAGCTACGTATCCCTCTTCATTCTTGACTTGAAGTAGAGAGATTAGACACTGAGTCGACTGATAAGGATGCACTCTACTGTTCTTAAGTGTCATCGCTTAGACATCACCATTTTCTACTAGTCAGTGATACCAAAGTTGCTCTGATGCTCTTAATATTTATAAGACACATGTATTAGTACTATGCTGGGATCACTGTTCTATCAAGACAACCTGCAATATGCTCACTAACGCGCACGAATCGTGCATACCATTCAAGAATTCTACTGTGCACCGACCCTGTCTGTAATCACTTGTTCAAAATGTAACTGCATCTGGCTGTTCCTGTACGTTTCATGGCGTAAACATATCAAAGTGATATCACGTGTACAGCCGGACAGTGAAATAACAAGAACAACCAATTCAGCCACAGGACTGGGAAGGTTGGCGCTTGAGTTATGGTTACTAGTCCAGATAAACAAAAGCTGTACAATAGAAGTTATTGTTATACATGTTCAATAATAAGTATTTGGGCGTCAGAAAATTAAAACGTCCATGACATGTCAGCATCTTCATCGTTGTCTACTTTCCATCGAGTAGGTCCTGATATTATTAGGAAAGATTGTTGATGATTATCTTGAATTCGTTGAGTTCATCAGTATAGGGAAGAAAAGCTGTAATTAACTTTGTGATGTTGTCCGTCACGTTGTCTGGTGCTTCTTGAGCTTCAGTTTCATTTTACCGAGCAGCAAGTGGTGATCTGAGGCTATATCAACTTCCCTCTTCCTTCTCACGTCCTCCATGTTCCTTCTGAACTTTTACTGATACATATTTGATCAATTTGGTTTGAATAGAGTGATCCGGTGATATCCAAGTAGCTTTGTGTATGCGTTGGGTGGGGATATTTTGCACCTGATGACGTTTATTTCAAGTACATATTCTTACTATTTCACGATGGGATTACGCTTGAGACACTAACGTAATTGGTTTTTATAGTCATCCATGACTGGAACACTACAAAGACAGCAGATTCAGTTGTCATCATGTTGTGTTTCAGCAAACAAACGGCCGCTATATCTTTGGATGCAGTAAAAATGTTTATGCAAGTAAAGAACCAAATCATGGTCATGGTGTACGGCACCTCCTATAACAGTCAGAGACCGTCTTCGAAAATAAGCCTAGGCAATATCAAACGACGTCATCGCCATCCAGTGCAATATCTTTGTTCAGGAAACGGGTCCTAGATAAGGACGGCAGGTCAATAGATGAAGTATTAAATCTTCGTCTGTTGAGGTAGCTGGGACATGTGTTGCGACTTCTCGAGCTACGGTTTGAGAGGTAGGAATAGGTTGGAAGAAAGCTAGCGTACACCAGACGAAAACATGGCACAAATCTATGAAGTCATTGACAAGTGGACTGAGTCATATCGGTACGTGTCGACTACCTGGTTGGGGCCCGCGAGATAATAGAAAACGATGGTTAGAAGAGACCTTGAACTACATGGCTCAAAATCGTTTTCGATGAGGCAGATGCATTCATTACTGGTACTCTCTCAAGTCTCTATCCTTCTGAATTTATCACCACCCATTATCATATTTCACAATATATATTTCACTAGATTCGACATGTTGATTAGTATCTTCGAGCCATAATTTCTCCCATTACTGCTTATATTTCCACAACCTCTACTACTATGGGATTTGAATCGACAATCGTATCTCTGTGCTAATCTGGTATGGCAATTCGAACTGGTGTACGCACAAACGAAGTTATGCGTTGCTGTTGATTGACATCGTCTTTTTGTGTAAATTCCGCAACTGTGCAGATGACTAAAAAATTTGCTAGCATGATAGCGACGTCATGGAAGCGGCGGTGAGTGACTCCGATCGATATTTGTGGAGGTTCACGATGAAAAATGGTCTATGTAATTCAGAAGTGTCGAACCGCTGGGTCTAATTCTCCCAATATGCTTCTCTGCTAAACAACTCACAGGGCTGGTACCAACTTTTAAGTGCTAGTGTTATTTGCCGGTGGAATCGCTAGGTTTAGTTCACATTGAGGCTTGGGAAGCGATTACCAACGACGTTGAATGCAAACGTCCCCAAACAATTAATACTGGCACAAAAAATAATAATTCCATGCTATTTTACCATTTAGATTGGATCAGGTTAACCAGAACTGCTGCGTGACTAGAAGAATTAAATACCTAGGCGTGAAATGCAGATGTTTGGAAGCCAAATTGCGTCAACAGACGATGGTGAATCTCCTTCGGTGGCAACTCCAAATACATTGATATTGTTCCTCTTCCGTGCCTGTTACTGATTTTTAGAGGATCAAATCCGGAAAAACATTTGGGTTCATATTTGCATTTGATAGGGAGAGAGACTCCTAAAGAAATCTTTAATAACGATGGGACTATTAGAAATCGAGACCACCACAAGCTAGCTACGAACGTGTAGTTAAGAACAGAGATTATGTACTGATTGTTTGGTGAAAATAATATAACGTTTGAAATTAGTCCAAGAATTACAAACAAGCCGTCAGCAGTTAGGCCGATTCACAAATGCATCCTCGTAAAAATGGTTGACTCGCTAGCGTTTGTCAACGCATAGAATCATTAGAGAAGGTATAATCCATGTTTCTGTGGAAAACTACAACAGGCTGCAAACAAACAACTTGTGGCAAAGCTGTAACCACCTGATACGTAATGCCGTGACAGTACCTCATATTTTAACTTATCACATGAAATCCCGTCACACCGATAGCGATAATTCTCCAGTAGTAAGGATTAATTAACACAACAAGCCAGTGCAAAATTATATCGTGACCTGTGGTAAAGTACCCCGAGGTAAATTATGTGGTGTCCAAGTTGCGGATCAGGGTTACTTAATTCTAGCGAAATACCAACAGTAAAATGGAATGAGATCGAGCAATCTTCTCCTATGTTATGGTTAGGTATATTCTCAATTTGAATAGATATTGTGACCTAGAGCTCAAGCCCTCCAAAGACTTAACAAAATAGCGTAAGCTGTTTGCGGCTTGGGTTTCTTTTGTATCTACACTTTCGTTCATTTATCGTCATCCTGGAGGAAAATATTCAGATTATTTGGAACGGTGAGGTTTGTTCAGGTCAAGTATAACTCGAGTTCTGACTATGGACGTGCAGCAATCAAGTGAATAGCACAAATTGGACAAATGAACAACAGTTTTGTATTTCAGTAAGTGACGAAGACCCATGGACACACATAAATGCCAGCTAATACTAACTTATTGTCACCCTCAGTAGGGAACGGTATCTTTTCTCATTGTACCATTAGCGTAAAATCGACTAGAAGTCAATTTTTGGGTAGCAATCACGTCTCAGTGGCTACTACCCAAAACCAAACTGCTGTAGGACAGTTAGGCGAGATCAATTCAATGAGTCCATTTGGTAGTTTAGCGGCGATTGAAACCTACTAGGTAAGATTTGCTGTCTTTTAACTACTACAAGACGTGAGCAATTTTCGCACTTTTGGACGGTATTCGTTTTGGCTGAAAACTCGCATACGCATAATGAAGTTCTATTTCAGTATCAAGTCAACATGATTTTCAAACAAATACACCTTCATTTGGAATTAAACTGTATCACTAAGATAGATATACTGATGTGTAATGTCGAAAAATAACGTTAGCTTCTAGTGCGAAGTACTGTATGAAAATGCAAACAAGTAAAGCTCGTAAGGAACCACAGATCACAAAGTGTGAATACGAGGCATTAGAGACACCGAAAATATTAGGAGACTGGAATAACTGCAGTAAAAGGTATTAAAGGAAAAGTAGAGCTTATTTTACAAACATACTGCGATTATCATTCAGGATATTTTATGTAAAAGTTGTCAGTTGAATGAGTATACAAACTAAACTATATGCAATTTTCTGAAGACTTCGATTTAGAATCTGGATCTTTATTCCAATCCTTAAGTCCAGGAGGAAGCGACACGTCTTCATCCAAGGAGCCTGAAAAGAAGAAACAGATTTATTAGGTAAGGGAACGGATATTAATTTTAACAAACTGTGAATTTTCGTATAACTTAAACCTCATCTCAATGTGTATCACTAAAGTCAAATAAAGAAGACAACTGTACTCATGTTTTAAAAGCAGAGATGACCATATTCTACACATGGACTAGAGTAGATAAAGTATGGTCAACCATGAAGTACAAAAAATAAAAAAGATAAAAACAAGTTATTATCAAGAAACATATGACTTTAAAACCTATTCGAATCACTTATCATAATCACAAGTAATGTCAACAGAATATTACTTTCGGATTAGGAACGTAAGCACGCACTTATATGTACGAAAGGACAGTACACAAAGTATCAACTTCGAGGCTCAACATAATACATCGAGTTACTTTACTGATAGTCATGAACTACTTTCTCTAAAGAACTTAGAAGTTAACTTGCCGAAATGTTACTACTCCCTGAAATTTTATAAATGTACTAAGAATTGGACGCTTCACCCGGCTGTCAGTGAATGGTAGGTGACAGAAAATTAGTGGTGAGTTAAAATGTTTCACAAAAAAGTTTACCCGTTGTTGGAGTCCCTCAGTTTGTGAATGGACCATGACTTTCCTTTTTGTGATGTAGAGCAATTGCCAATTGTTGATTTCATTTACTTTTATTGCTCAGTACTGAGAAACATCACCGGGTAGTTTTTCAAACTACATTAGAATCGACTTTGTGGTCATTATATATTTAAGATGAATTTACGGGAGATTGTCAATTCAGAGAAATGTTCTCCAAGTCTTTTGTTTGGATTAATCGAAGATGTCACTATTATTTCAAACCAGATCATTTCAAGTTAATTCATAAAGTACATCCAATTTATGGAACTTTAGGCGCTTAACTAACGAATGTCATAAGCTGCTTCAAAAACTCGATCGTTAAAAAAAACATGGAATTTACGAATAAAAAACAAAGTTTAATAAAACTTTGATAACTTACCAGGACCAACGAGTTCCTCATATGTGCTTTTCTCTGCAAACGGCCTTGGACCTAATACTTCAACTAAGTCTTCCTTTTGCAATTGCTCTTTGTCCAGTAAGCGTAGAGCCAACTGATGAAATAAGATGCAGGATAATTATAAATTAATAAAACTTTCGAGCAACTAAACATTTTTAGATTCATTAGTATCGTACCTCGGAAAAACTAAAAACAGCAAACAAACATACCTTTTCAACAAGCTGTCTTTTTTCCTTCAATATAGTTAAGGTTCTTTCGTAGGCTGACTGAACAAGTTGTCGAACTTCTTCATCTATTATTTGTGCAGTATGCTCAGAATATGGTTTAGTCAGAACCATATCCCCTTGCTGAGGTAAATCAAAACTTAGCAACCCAACTTTTGCACTAAATCCTAGTTGCACAATTTGAGAATACGCTGAACGAGTCACACGCTGTAAATCATCAACTGCTCCACTTCCAACTTTACCAAAAAATACTTCTTCACTTGCTCGACCTCCTAACGCCAAACACATTTCATCTAACATTTGCTCTTTAGTACGCAGATATATGTCCCTAGGTTGATACTGAGCATAGCCAAGAGCTTTACCACGAGGAATTATTGATACTTTCAGCAATGGATTACAATGTTCTAAAAACCAACCAACGACCGCATGCCCAGCTTCATGATATGCAACTGTTTTTTTCTCTTCAGGTTGTAACACCTATATTAAGAAAAAAAATGCGTAGTAGAATGCATCAAATATAAACCGAGAGAAAAATTATGACACTTAATAGGAGATTACAGGAAAGACGAACCGGAATAAAGGTCTGTTTCAGTAATAGTTAAGGTGTGAGGGTTCAGTGAATGGAAAAAAGGTTTGAATGAAATCAACGGATGTAACTAATCAAAAGAATACTTAACGATGAGGAGCACTCAAATAATAGTGACAGTTAGTTGCATATAACGTAAAAATAATTATTATAGTTCATATATTTAAGAAACAATTTCACGATTAAGTGCAATAAAATTCATTTGTTCAGGTTGCCTGAGGAAATGAAATCTGAGAACTAAATTTGATTCTAGTCTAAATGTAACGATGACCATTACTATTTTTTGTAAACATGTGGTTTTGACGCACAGTGCAACATACACCTTACGATCACGTCAATCGCTGTTATTACTTCCTGTTTATTAAGCCAAATCAAAGTCACTTAAGGAAGAGATCACTGCTCGTTCAGCCTTAAAAATTCGTCAAGTAACTGAAGACGTAAAAAATAACTGGCATTAGGAAAGAAGTTTATCTCATATTTATCCAAGGAGCACGCTATAGAGTCATGACAACCTGATTGCGCCATCCCAAAAAGTACGATAAACAGAAGAACATTAGATGTTACTTGTATTACACATTTTAGCACACAGACAGACAGAGACAGATACAATGCAGAACTTCGTAGGTACGAACATCAGTTCAGGTTGCCATACCACATTAGCACAGAGACGCAACTGTCAGTTCAAACACAATAGTGATAAAGATAGGAGAAGTATTAGCAGTAATGCAGACGATTAGGGTTCGAAGATATTATTCAAGAAGTATAAACCAGTGAGATAACTTTCGAAAGAGAAAGATAGAGGTGTTGACGAATCCAGAAGATTAGGATTTGAAAGAACACCTGGGCCATTACAAGCGATTCTGAGCTATGTCGTTCAAGGTCTCTAACCATCGGTGATTGTCGTCTCGCGGACCCCCACTAGAGAGCCTGCATCTACCAATATGACTCAATCTACTGGTCAGTGACTTCATGGATTTCTGCCATGCTTTGGTTTTGCCACCCCTAGCTTTCTTCCAACTTACTCCCACGCCACGAAGCATTGTTCATCGAGGCAGTCGGTGGTTAGGCATACGTAACACATGTCCTAACCACCTCAACTGATGAAGTTTCAATACTTCAACTACTGATTTGTTATTTCTACCTAGTACTCATTTCTTAACAACAGCACTGCTTACTCGGTTGTCGCGGGATATACGAGCAATGATTCGGAAACACATATGATCGAAGACAAGCAATCTACGAATGTCCTCTATTCTTACCAGCCATGTTTCGCATCCATATAGTAGAACGGAGCGAACTGCTGTGCAGTACACTCGTCCTTTGGTTAGCAAACGGATATCTCGCCAGCGCCATAGTTGACGCAACTTGGCAAAAGCCAACCGAGCTTTTCGTATCTGTGCCTAAATTTCGTCATGAGATGAGACTGCCGAGACAAGTGAGGCGGTCAACACTCTCGACTACTTCACTCCCTATCACTAGTTCAGGTGCCGATGCAATCCAATTTTGAAGCAACATTTTACATTTCGAGGGGGAAAACCTCATCCTGAACATGCTTGCATTGTTGATTAGGGTAGTAAGAAGACTCCGCATCTTGTCAGAGTCTTCAACGTATAGAAATATTTCATCAGCATACTCTAAGTTAGCGAGCTTGTCTCCTGGTAAAAGGACCACCCCTGAAGAGTCAGATGATAATTTTAACTGTAAAAGCATATCTACGACAAACTTCAACAAGAATGTGGAGAGCGGGCAACCCTGACGGACACCACTTGAATTAAAGACAGTTTGCGATAAGCTCTTACTCGACCAGTGGTGTTCGATTAGAGAGCTTGTATAAGGTTAATATACTTGTTTGTTATGCTTTTCAACGACACGCTGCCACACAACCTCACGATTAACACAGTCGAATGCCACTTTAAGGTCGAAAAATATTACTATTGTGGGGCGTCTGAACGTGCATATTTGTTCTAGGACCTGACCCAGTGTGAATATTTGGTTTATACATCCACGTCCAGGTTGAAAAACATGCTGGACCTTATCAGCACTCGCACAAACATGAAAATCGTAGAAAAGCGGAGGTCAGACCGAAAATCATTTTAACTTTATGCAGTGAAGCTAATGTATTGATAGATTTTAAAGAATACCGTCGTAAACTGCTACTTATTTTAACATAAGTACTATAATATATTTTACTATTGGAAATAGGACAACGCTAATTTAAATTTATCACTGAATGTGACTCAGTACAGATTGGTGTATTTCGCTTCGAGCCACACTTTTATGTGAGCCAGCAATACTCCAAAGTACGGAGATGTCATAAAGCAGTTAAATTTAAAAGTTATAAACCTTATCCTCTTTTGGTATGTTGCATATGTTACGGGTATGAAGGCGGATGTTACTACCCGGCTGCCCACACCCGTGGAAGGCTATGGTTTTCAGAAGGAGCTTGGCTTCATGACTTCCAAAGGAAATTGGCTTTCGTCATGAGACGTCATAACTGTTCAGAATGAAGACCTTCTAATTCCCAGTGTAGAGTTTCAGTGGTTTGAATTGCTTTGTTCAGGTTAGCGTTCTTTAGAGTTAGTTTTCTGTAGGATGAGGTGGCCAACCCCACGCCTAGCCCCCGAGTATATCCTGGCTTGGGACCGGCAGTAGCGCTGCAGGGGCTACAGGCGGAGTGTTGTATAGGTCAAATACTAGAATGCAGGGTTATTCCTTTGTAAAAAAGGGAATCATGTGTAATATTACATTGTTTTTTATTGTTGTCTTAACTTTTATTTGAGCTAAAAGAAGGGATTTTAAGCCCTAGGAAATATGGCTTCGATAAGATTTGTCTCAACCTTAATTCTAAAACACTAACAATTTCACCATGATTGCGCATGCCTGCAGCTGATTTGTTGAACTGGTACTCTACATTTGATACTTTTCATTTTACGCACGCTTAACTAAGACTACAATAAACAACAATAAATATCAACAAACTACCAAACCTAAGTAAGAGTAATTTCAAAACAAAGAGATTGAGTAAACACATATCGAAAGAACAAAAAAGCAAACATTACCTGACTTTTCTTTTCTAAACCAGCAATCACACGATCGATGGCTTTATCAAAATGGATCAGATTGACATTATGAGCGTCTTCTCGAGCAGCAATCAACGCTGCCTCATTACACACACTTGCAATATCTGCACCAGAAAAGCCTGGGGTGCGAGCAGCCATTTTACGAGCTACAAGTTGCATATCATCCGCTAATTTAATTGGTTTTAAGTGTATCTAAAATCAAAACAAAAACACAGACATGATCACATTTTAATGGAAACTGATGAAAATAGAAAACACAGGACAGAAAGGGGGAAGTAACTTGAGAATAAAAATGTGCTAATAATCATAACCTGCTGTTACAAAGTGATTATAATTTCCTTATTCAATGATCAACAAACCAAGTAGTGAAACTCCAAACACGCTTACAAAAACCTTACACTGGATATATATATATATATATATATATATATATATATATATGTATATATATATATGCATAATCAGATGATTTTTATTTACCATTATGAGATCAATGAGAACATGCAGTCATCAGCTGAGAAATTACTAAAAATGGATTCCGGACACAATTCAAAACGATTTTTATCATCCGAAAAAAAATGATCCCAAATAGCTTGGGCAATGTGAAAATGAGAACCGCCCTGATCATTCAGCTACAGTGAAGAACTTCGTACATATGTACATGAGTCCAAGTTGCCGTACCACACAAGCAGAGAGACGCATTTTACAATTCAACTCCTACAGTAGTAGATGTAGTTAAGGTATTAGCGGTAATAGTACCATAAACAGAACACAAGGTCCCCTGGCAAGCTAACGAAAACATTTTCATTATCAGTTCCGTTTCTATTACCAAACCTTACCTATTTTTAGTGTCCAACACATGCGGTACTGATGATAAAAACTCAAGTTCACAAAATTTTATTCCAGGTCATCTGAAACTGTGCTTTAAGCTACATATTGGAGTTTTTGATGTCCGAACCCAATTTTATATAGGAAAACAAGCGTCACTAGCTAGGATTGATGTATGCTGAAAATGGAATAATTTGCGTCACTTATGGCCTAGCCAAGATATCCATCTGCTAAATAAACGACGATTATAATGCGCCGTAGTTCGCCCAGCCCTACTCCTCTATAGCTGCGAAACATAGCCAGTTGGGGTAGAAGATATACGTAGGTTACTGGTTTTTGAGAACAGATGTTTCTGAAGCATTGCTCGTATATCCCGCGACAACCGAGTAAGCAGTGCTGTTGTTAAGAAATGAGTACTAGGTAGAAATAACAAATCAATAGATGAAGTATTGAAACTTCATCAGTTGAGGTGGTTAGGACATGTGTTACGTATGCCTAACCACCGCTTACGTTTAAATTTATTGAAAACGATTAACATTAGCATTTTAATTGAGTATGCAAAAAAGACGCAGCTGTTCATGAATTCGAAATTCAAACATTTTAAGAATGATAAAATACGCAAAATGATATATACATACCTTAAATATTGATGCACGACCTTTGATGTCGGGCAATGATACATATATTTGGCGATCGAAACGACCAGGTCTGAGGAGTGCTGGATCAAGAATATCAATACGATTGGTAGCAGCTAGAACAACGACATTTTCTTGAGTAGTAAACCCTAGTAGAAATGAAATAGTCATTAGGATTCTCTTAAACACCTATAATCATAATCAGAGAGAAGATTAAACAACACTGATGATCAATATGGATATCTCCATGCATCATCTAAGTTATTACAATTCATCATTTTGAATTAAATAAATACAAATTATAACAAACAAGAAGCAAAAAACTTTTAACACTACCTTTTGGTGATGAATATGTTTCATATGAGGATGTAATGAAAAGTCCGTGTGAAAAAAACAGAACCGAATTTAAGATCAGAGACAAACTTTACCTCATTCACTTCGAATATCGGAAGAATTTAAAAACGTATACACACTAGTTCAATGAACTTACCAACAAAGCAAAATGTGTTTTTGCTATTAATACTATTAGATTTAAATGCTAAAATTGCTACTATTTTATATTCAACCAACGCGGTCTCTATCAATAAACAGAGACGTGTAATCACGTCTGCATGTATAAATCCTATGTTACTTGTCATTGGTCCGTGTGGCGTATAACTATTTAGGTGCCCCTTTGTACCAATAATTACGAGTTTACACAATAACAGTAACTTATCGTTAAATAATTTGTCTGTCATAAAACAGTTATTAGTTAGGGCATGATTTTAGGCTATTTTATCTAAATTCAGCATGAAATTGAGTACTTAATCAATGATTGCATGGAAAAGACCCCAGTATAAATTTGGCAAAAAACTGAGCGAATTATGTCACAAGCACACGAAGAAAGTGTATTACAAAATACTTCGATGATTTTACTTTTTCTACGTTGTTAATAACGTCAACAAAAATTTGTAATAGTGTGTATTACATTTATTATTGCTTGGGACTTTACATCCCCACAATTAACTTGATTAAGGGTCCTAATTTTGGATTTCATGCTTTCGCGCACGGGCTGATCAACTGGCCTTCAGATTACATTGGTTGATGTGTTATTTTAGTCCTCTATTTTTGTGGTTCTACCAAGGACGTTTCTATCATGTATAAATAAACTCGATTTTTGTGCATGTAAACCTCATAGTTCTAGGTGCTTGTAGAATACACTTGCTACGTCTTGTAAAGACTTCTTCCTCTACTTAGTGTGCCTTGGAACGCTCACATTAGAGTAGCCTATCATGGCACTGGATCACTTGTCTTCGCAACCGTTTACCAACTAAGGTGAACTCGTAATAGTTTCAAGTATATCAAGTGGTGAGCACATCATTTATCTATGTATAAGTTTAATCTATCATTATATTTGGACTTCGTTTGTTCCTTAGGACAAATTATTTTTCATTTTAATCAAGATTACTCCCTACTAAAGCGGGTCATACAAAATCCTGACATGAGTCAAGCATTTAATTCATCGCAGCCTTAACCCAACATAATACTCAACTAGAGAACGTATTCAATAAAGTTACATATTAAGTACTCCGTCTAGCACACAAGGATGGCCATCTTTGTTTGACTACTCCTAACAGTAAGTGATCAATCGATGGTTTAATCAAAGATAGTAAGATGTCCTCTTTGTTGATGTACTACAATGGGGAACAAACTTTCGTTAAGTGTTCCTTTGATTCGAATAGAAAGTAGGTACGTACACTAATGTGAACTTTTGAAAACAACATTCCCTGCACAATTCAGTATAATACTTAAATGAACCTAAAATAAGCATAATAAAACGCACTGTAACAATAAAATCTGTAAACGATTTATTGATCCCTGCGATGAAATTGCTTTATCTGTATTTTGAATAAACTGTCGGTTGAAAAAAACTGGTCTTAATAAACCATATACAGAAAATCAAAATATCAATTCAGAACAATGATACCGTCCATTTCCACAAGTAGTTGATTGAGAGTATTTTCCCGTTCCTGATGACCAAAGGCTGTACCAGACCGCTTGCCACCGATAGCATCTATTTCATCGATAAATAATATACAGGGAGCTTTGTCTCGTGCAGAGGCAAACATATCACGTACTCTTTTAGGCCCTACACCAACAAACATCTCTAGAAATTCACTTCCAGAAACGGAGAGAAATGGAACATTAGCTTCTCCAGCAGTCGCTTTAGCCAAGAGAGTTTTCCCAGTTCCAGGAGGACCCTAAATTAAGGGGACATATATTAGGTCAGAGAAAAACTGACAACGCGTACCAATTATGAATAAAAAACTCAACTACTTAAAAAAATGTCATCATTTATGAGTAAGATTTGAAACCCTTAACACCAAACATGAAAAAGATGCGAATCGAAGAAAACGATGAAATATGTGTATTTGATTGACATAACAGAGCCAATTGATACAAAAATAACTTGTAGATTCTAGGAAACAAGGATAAAGAAACTACGATTGTTCTGTATTCTCTTAAAATCAATTATCATACATCTACTACTAGAGATAAACGTGTACTTACACATGGCCTATCAGTACAACTAGAAAATAAATTAACGAGATGAGAAACAATGGGTGAGAACTAAACTTTAACTACGATGTCATTAAAAAGAATACAAATACAATTCATAAAAAATGAGTGAGTTTGATGGATAGAGAATTAACGACACAGCCCATGAGTCAAGAGAAAAATTCCGTTTAGACAAGAAGGGAAAACACCACGGGCGAACAACTGAGTAATTTAATATTCAACAAAATGCCTACAAAGATTTCCAAATGACCGAAAATTAAGGTAAGAAAAGGTCAAATAATTTTGACTGATAGGACCATTTAGTAGCCTGAATCAGAACCTGCAGAAGCGAACACTGCTAAAATGCTCAACAGACTAAATCGTCCATGTCCAATTCAGTCACACACTACCATTATTGCTTTTGTTATCAAATGAATTGCAACATCACCGATGATTGTAAATTACGGTTGAAAGCAAAACGAATAAGCCATTTAGTTATAAGCGCTAAGTAATCTTCTGATCTAAAAGTTAGACAGAGAAAAGACGAAGGAACTACACGGCTGTAAAACCACATAAATTAAGAATCTACAGATGATTGATAGGAATCTAACAAGATAAAGTGAGGCTACTGGAATTAGGGAGTAATATACCCTCGAATGATCACAAGTTAGTCAGTTACAACGTAGAACTTCGTACATAAGTTCAAATTCAAACAGCATAGTTGTAGAGATAGCGGTGATGGAGAAGATTGGGGTTCGGAGATATTATTCAAGAAGTGTAATTTAGTGAAATAAGTTTAGAAAAAGCAAGATATAGGTGACGAGGAATTCAGAAGATTTCAATGTGAATCTGTGCCATTGCAAACGGTTTTGAGCCGTCATTTAAGGTCCCTAACTATCAGTAACTATGGTCTCGCGGATCCCAATCAGGCGGTCTACACAAAACAGCATGACTCATTTCACTTGTCAGTGACTTCATGAACTTGTGCCATGTTTTAGTTTGGCAGCCCCCATCTTTCTTCTAACCTACTCCTACACCGCAAAGCATAGCAGTCCGTGGTTGGACACTCGTAACACAAGTTCCAACGACCTCAACTGATGCAGTTTCAATACTTCATCTATTGATCTGCCATCCTGATCTAGTACTCATTTCACAACAACATTGCTTACTCAGTTGTCCCAGGATACCTGTGCAATGCTTCACAGACATTGACGATATTTCTTTCCAGTTTGCCTCCATAACAGCAAACGTCGCATGTCGAGATGGGCGGTAGCCGAACATACATCACATATACGAAGATCGGAAAATAGGTGACTCCCAGGACTGACTTATGGATTATTATATTATTATGGATGTTCCTACTGTATAATAAAGTCAAACCAGACAAGTCAACAACAACAACATAAACCCCCCGACCATAGATGCTACCTTGTCGTGGTGGTCGGGCTTGCCAATCGTGATGACCCAACTGAGCTATATTGGCTCGAACATATGTTTCCGTAGTTTCTACCATGCCAGCCAGGTCGATCGGAGAACGATCAGACTAAAAGTACTTACTCAAGGTCTGGGGGCGAAGTCATACTGCTGACTGTAGAGGGGTGTGACAGCAGTAAAGTGTTCCCCTCGGACAACCAGCATCTGCAGCGATGCTGCCTTCTCACAAGGAAGGAAGGGGTTAGAAAAGGCCGACCCTAAAAATTTCATACATCACCTTACATCACGGACTTCCATCTCTGGCAGTATGGCCACTTGAAGAGTGGAGCCAACACTTTACAATCTTCCCATGAAAAGGTTATGCGTGACCGGCTTCAAGCAGTTGTTTCTTGGGCTCTGCAGTCACACTCTCAGGTCGCTCGGACCACCGCTAATACAGCTTCTTTTACAGGTTACTCAATAAACACTATTCCACAGTGTGGACAGCCTGAAAGTGACATCCGCCCTCATAATCGTAAAAACACAGGAGACCGAATTGGTCACAATAAAGTCCTTACCATACCCCCGAACATCTCTCTTATCTACACGTCTCACCCTTCTCACATCCCTTTAGCACACTGCATCGCTGATGCAAACGATTCGAGTTCACGAAACGTTATTCCTCGTCCCCTAAAATCCCGCTCTGAACTACATGTTGGAGCTTCTAATGTCCAGACATTGTGTCAAATAGGAGAACAGGCTTCCTTAGCTTGGATTTTAGAATCTCGTGCCATCGGAGTATGCTGCCTCTCCGAAACGAGCATACAGGATCCGAGTAGCGTCATTCATTTGACCTCACCATGTCAAAATAAAGAACTAACTCGATTTACTCTTCATGTATCTGGAAGTCCTGATGCTGCTTCCTGTGACCTCGCTGATGTAGGTATAGCATTGAGTCCGAGGGCAGAACTAGCTCTCCTAGACTGGATCTCAGTTGATGGTCGCTTATGTGCTGTCCGACTAAACGGGAAAGTAAGGGTTCGGAGAGATAGGAACACTCGCCGTTGCCTCTCCGTCGTATCTGTCTACGTTCCCACTGACTGCAGTTCAGACGAGGTGAAAGATGAGTTTTACACAAACCTTTTAGAACTCCTACAAAATGTTAGGCGATCTGATATAGTAATAATGGCCGGTGACTTCAATGCTCAGGTAGGTAGACCAAGTGAGAAGGAAAGACACCTGGGTGGATCTTATGGTGTCGCGGCTCAGAGAACGAAAGATGGCGACCCTCTGCTACAGCTATACATAGATAAGTGCCTATTCCTAGAGAACACTAAATTTAAGCATGAGTAAAAACATCTAAAGTGGAGACTCCCATATCGGACCCAACTAGATCACATTGCCATCAGCAAACGATGGAGGGGTTCGATAGAAGACTGTCGCTCGTTCCGGGGCACATGTTTAGGTGCTGATCATGTACTGGTGCGAGCGTATTTCGGTTTTTGTCTTACCAGATGTCGGAAAGATACCACAAGGAATTCTCTTAGGGCTCTAATTAATGATAACAAAGATAAGAATGTATTTCAGGAACAATTAGAAAAAGTTAGATGGCTACGTACGTGATGCCCATTCTGAGGCGGCTTGGAACGATATCCTTAACGCTGTGGAAACAGCAGTGATTTCTGCTAGTAAGGTAAACCTAAAGATTTGGGAAAAGCCGTGGATCTCAGTAGCATCTAACGAACTGATAAACGCTCGGAAACTCATCTCACCTGGCCCTGAACGTGACGAAGAGCGAGGTCAGCTTAGGCGCAGCCTGATAATCAGACTCATCAAGGAAACCAGCAGTAGGAACCCGAATGTAAGTGGGACTATGTCGGAAAAGGATGGTTTTATTATCCATTCTCAATGCAGGAGATTGGATCGATGGACATAACACTTTAGGGATCAGTTCAATTGGCCTTCAGAAACACTTTGGTTACCAACGACCCCCAGTCGCCCTGAATGGCGAATCGATGTAAGTCCACCGAGTCTTTATGAAATTGAAAAAGAAATAGGAAATCTGAAGCGAGGGCGAGCAGCGGATTCTGATAGATTGACTCCTGAGATTTTTAAGGATGGTGGTCCAGTTTCAGAGGTTAGATTGACTTAGATCTTGGGTAGAATTCCATTTCACTTGTCTCAATCCCTGATTGTCCCAGTCTATAAGAAAGGACAAAAGTCCTCTTGTGACAATCACAGGGAATAAGTCTAACTAATATAGTATCGAAAGTATTGACCTCAATAATACTTTGACGACTAACTAGAGCTCGTGAAGAGCAGACTAGAGGAAACCAGGCTGGTTTCAGACCTGGACGTGGATATATAAACCAAATATTCACACTACGTCAGGTACTAGAACAAAGACATAAAGACGTCGCACAAAAGTAGTATTTCTCGACCATAAGGCGGTTGGGACCCGCGAGATTCATTTGTTATAAGCTTACGGTTGACCCATTAACCACTTTTGGAGAATTCATGGTCCTCAATCTTTTTCTAGTTTATTATTCAGTCTACCTGAAAACCAATTTTTGACTTGATGTATAAGTGTTATTCTTTATTTCACGGTGTGATGTGCTCTGGTATGCTTGCATTAACTGCGTCTACTTATAATATAATATAATATAAAAGAGGCCGGTTACTAACTTCTGGATACATGGGGCAAAGCAGAGACGTTACAGAACTGTGGATCAATAAGTATTCACTTGTTGACCCAGGGTTAGTAGTGCTGCTTGGTGCAATCGATAGACCCAGAGAGATCAAGTCAAAGCCATTCGAATGGTGGTTTTATAACGTGATTTTAGTTAACGGTTGAAAGTCGTACGATCGACTACTACTCTACCAAAGATCGCTTAATTGACAGGCACTGAGATCAATCATTTTTACCCATCTGGAAGCCATTCATTACTCAGAACGAACTATAATAGATAAAAAAGTTTTAGACTTAGGATAACAACTGACAACAAATGAAACTGTGAAATAGTAAACTGTTGGAGCATGAAACAATACACAGATAGTAATTATGGCTTACCACACGGCAATAAGATGTAAATTAAACCACAACAAACTAACTTTTAAAATAGCACCGCGAGGGATTTTTGCTCCGAGTGCTTCATATTTGGTTGGATTTTTTAAGAAATTAACAAATTCAATTATTTCGAGTTTTGCTTCTTCACATCCCGCTACGTCGCTAAAACGTACACCAATCTTATCTTTTTCTATTAAACGCACAGGTGACTGTCCGAAATTGAATAATCCTGACCCAAGTCCTGACTAGAAAAAGAGGGAATTGGTTGTATAAACATGACAGTACTATGCTTTTACACTTGGACTTGATACAAGTATTAAATGATTTTCGCGCTGACAAAAATACTGCTTACCTTGCGCACAACACCACCAGATGCAGGTCGTAAAGAATATACAGCCATTAAGAATAAAGAAATATAGAAAATCCCATACAGAACATCTGATCTACAAATGAGAAAAAGAATAAGAGCATGGACGCACAAAAAATAAATACTAAGGTTCAAAATCTTGCTGGTACTTGCGAACAGTAAGCATATGAAGATTCTGCAAGTTCAACTACATCGTAGTTTTTGGATATATAAATCACATAAAGAAAATAAGAATTCATGGTAGTGGCATTTTCAAAAAAAGCATCTGGCTTTCATAGCTGCTCCCATACGTGTTTAAAGAATATGCACTGGATTTTTGATTAAGACGTATCAACATCCAAAACTGACAAGTAATGTACAAGTAACGAGAAAATTACTGTTTGAATATTGAAAATTGTCTTTTAGAGAAACACATCCTAAAAGTTTAGTTGCATCACAAATAAACTTTATCTATCCATTGGTTTCAAAGAGATTATGTATGGCTTATCAGTTGCTAAAAACAATTAGGCTGTTCCTGAGTTTTTCTCAGGAGGTTTCAGCGAACCTGAACACGCGTTGTTGAAGTGACTGGAACGTGTGTTACGAATGTCCGGCCACCGGCTACCTCGACAAGCAATGTTGTCTGACGCAGGGGAAGGCTGAAATCTAACTACCTCTACCAATATGCGATTTCAATTGACAGTTCCATTGCTGTGTGCTGTGGCAACTGATGTACGTACGTACCAAGCTCTACGTTGTTCTTGACTGAGTAAACTCACATTTATTTTATACGGTTACCCCTTGTCCAGATAAATTTGTTTTACTCCTTGATATGCAACTCAGGATTGAATCACATAAATAATGAAACCAGCTAGACGATTAGAAATTAATGTGTAGCATTTTATTGACAGGGAAATAGTTCAAGCCATAAGCAACCAAACTTTCTATCCTAAAACTGACCAAATTACGCACATATGTTAACGATGGTGAATGACATCAGTCAGTCAATTACAACGTGGAACTTCTTATGTAGCGACATCAGTTCAGGTTGCCATACCACATTAGCACAGAGACGAAACTGAGTTCAAATCCCATAGTAGTGGAGATAGTAGAAGAATTACTGCTAATAGAGAAGATTAGAATTTGAAGATATTATTCAAGAAGTATAATTCATTGTGATAAGTTTAGAAAGACAAAGGTAGGGGTGCTGACAAATCCAGAATATTAGGGTTTGAGAGAACGCGAGGAGTGGATGCACCTGCACCATTGCAAACGTTTCTGAGCCATGTCATTCAAGGTCTCTAACTATCAGTTACTTTCGTCTTGCGGACCCCCACCAGGTAGCCAACATCTGCCAACATGACTCAGTCCACTTGTCAGGGACTTCATGGATTTGTGCCATGCTTTGGTTTGACCACCCCTAGCTTTCCTCCAACCTACTCCTACACCACAAAACATTACTCGTCGAGGCAGTCGGTGGTTGAGCATACGTACGTAAAGCATGTCCTAACCACCTCAACTAATGAAGTTACACTAGTTCATCTATTGATCTACCACCTGAACCAGGACCCATTCTCTAACGACAGCATTGCTTACCCAGTTGTCCCAGGATATACGAACAATGCTTCAAAGACATGTGATCGAATACTAGTAACCTACGAATGACATCACTTAAAAATAAAGGGCACCAAAATTAATAGACCTAACCGATGTTTCAAGTAGGAAGTGGATGACTGATAAGTGTGGGAAAACGCTTTTTAGTTAGGTACATCGTTAAGGCAGAATCGCTAGAGAGTTTTAGACTACTACAACGTATTAACTTCCTTATGAACGAATCACATAGACCCGAATGAAATAGGTCTTACTTAAATTCGTATATATTTGCGGATTTAATTCGCGTTAGTGAATAAAGGAATTGAACAAATCAAATATGAAATCGGATTTGAATACTGAAATTTCATACTTTCGTTAGTACAAACAAACGATAAGAGCTGAAAATTGGGAAGAGATCAAAATGATTTATATTCAAAATTTAAGATAAATGGCATAGTAAAATAACAAACTAGAGGCTGCTATAAGATGCGCCACTCAACTGATTAGACAAGTGTGTGAATTGATTTACTGGTAGACAAGTGTCCTACTAACCCGTAAATTGTAAACAGTCACACCATAGATTTGTTAAAATGTATAGAATAGTTTCAAGTTGAAGTTAAAGAGTTTTACTGGCTAAAGTACTCGACTTGTGATCACAGTCCTCAAATTTAGTGCGACTCAGAGCCAGATATGCGGATGATTATAATGTAAATGAGCTTTAAGGAAGTTAATTAGCGTTAATAAACCAATGATACTTACAGCTTCAAACGACTACTGTAGGTTATAAATGTCCTATGCATAGGATCTATACCCATGTGAGCTTCCATATCGCGTAAACTTCGTTCGAAAGTGTCAACTGAACCGATTTCAAACCAATAAATTTTCTTGTTGGGATCACTGGATTCATAGGACTCGAAATCTGCGCCAGGTTGGAGATGGACTCGTACCCAAGATTTATTCACAACCTCTAGGTGATGGACAGCGCCCCTATCAAAAGATACTGATATAAAATGAGATGTACATGCATATTATATCAATAATGTTCCAGTCAATTTACTAATTATAAGCAGCTTACACCATGACACTACTAATTTGAAAAATTCGATCGAATGGATTACAATATGCGAATAGTAAATAGTCACCAAAATGAAATACTCATTTCTGTACCGACAAGTGTTTATGTGAATATGCATTAAGAATGTTCCAAATGCATCAATGAGGATTTACAACAACCGATTCGCCATGTTTACCTAGTACCTTAACATTTATTAACCAGCCGTTCATCAATATAACAACATTTCGAATACACCTGTGGTCAGAAACATGCGGAATACGCATGTTATGTAAAGCAGGACATTGATTTGCCACTCAGTGTACTCTTTTTTGATTGGAAGACAGATATCCCGCCAGCGCTACAAGTTGTATGAGTTGGAAACAACTACACCAGCTTTTGAGTACTTAAAGAGATTTCGTTAGACCTCAACCTATAACGGCTGATGAGACTTAGGATAGATGAAGTGATGAACGCGCTCAACAACTTCACTTTTAATTATCAGTTTGAGGTCGACAGAGCAACAGTGGAGCAACGTTTCGCCAATTGAGTGAGCACTATTTTCCAAACGTGTTGACATTACTGCTCATGTTTATCGAAAAACTTTGTCATAATTTGTATTAAAACAATATGGTCACTGCATGCCAAGTCGAAGAGGAAGTTGCCTGGTAGTAGATCCATTCTTGAAAAGTTATAGGACGGTAGTGTTAACCCGAAAAGCATGTCTAATATAAAGTTAAACCAGAATGGGAAAATTAGATAAACGTAATGGATACTGATAAGGGTTGACAACTCTGATTTTACGTAGATTTAATTGATAACCTGGAATTTATTATTTCAGAGGGAGAACAGATAAGTCTGATAATAAGAAGCATAATTACAGTAAACTAAATGGAATAATGGTTATAAAATGGTCTTACTAATGTAAAAAAAATTGATCTTAAGAACAAATTTTGGAGCATTTTAGTTACAAGTAGGTGACTTGGTAAGCAATATAAATGATGAACATTTTGGATTGAATATTATCAAGGTGAGAAAATAAATTGTTTGGTCAGCAAAGGTTGGACTCGCAAAACCTGTGACACAGGTACAACCTGAAGGTCACTCATTTACTATGTTTCAAGTCATTTCCACTGTTAATGGAGTGATGATGTGGTGTAAAGACTCACATAGTAAGAGAATAGGAGAGTAGTTGGACACCCCAGAAGTAATCAGCATTTTATGAGTGGCCTATGAGGAGTTAAATCCTAAACATCTTAAGTTTATGACTGTTAATCAAATAGACAGGTAAGACAAAGAGCCAGTCAGTTAATCAGTACAACGCAGAACTTCTTACGTACCGACATCAGTTCAGGTTGCCATACCACAGTAGCACAGAGACGAAACTGAGTTCAAATCCCATAGTAGTGGAGATAGTAGAAGAATTACTGCTAATAGAGAAGATTAGAATTTGAAGATATTATTCAAGAAGTATAATTCATTGTGATAAGTTTAGAAAATTTGAGGCGATGATGAGATCAGATTAGAATTTCATAGAACACGCCACTAATAACCTACAAATGTCCTCTACTCCTACCGACCATGTTTCGCTTCCATATAGTAGAACTGATGCGCAGTACACTCGTAATTTGACTAGCAAACGGATATCTCGCCTACGTTATAGTGACGAAGGTTGGCAAAAGGCAATCGAGGCTTCTGTGTCCGTGCTGAGATTTCGTCAGTCACCAGGCCATCAGCACTGATGAGATAGGGGGAATGTTGGGGGTTGTAAGAAGTATTTTTGATTGTGACCAATTCGGTAACAGGTATGAGGGCAGGTGTCACTTACCGGCTGCCCACACTGTCGAAGAGTGTTTCTTGAAAAACCTGAAAAGGAAGGTAAATTGGTGTTCGTCACAGACACCTTGTGTCATACTAATAGAATCATACTCAAAGACTTGTATGACTGAATCAACCGAACAGTATTTATACGCAGTAATGTGGTACGGTAACTTGAACTGATTTTCGTACGTATGAAGTTCTAGGTTGTAACTGACTAACTGACTGACACATTAATCACTGTCCACAACTAATATGCTAAACTAAGACTTGAAGCAAAAATCAGTGCGATTGCACTTAGGTGAAGAAAATTAATACGTGTATAGGTGAAGACTGTGCGACTGTATAATATATACTGTATATATATATACTATATATATATATATATACTTATAAGCTTTTAATGTTACACAACTAGAATATTAAATTGCTACTATAATAAGTACAGAAACATGCAGAGGCCTTACTTTTGTAGAAGGTTATCTGTAAATTCCTTCCAGTCAACTTTTCTATACTTTGAAACGTTGTGATAGATGACCCATGTTAACCCAACGGCGCCAAGTAAAACCCAAGAAGTAAGAGACCATCCACCCGGAGGGTCAGGCATTTTATTCCGAGAAAATGAAAACCGCAGTTCAAACTTCGCTAAAATAGATATTATCTTTACAAATACTTAAAAGAGTAATACGGATATTAGATGTTTGGCCATCTTTGCCTTCTCTAGGTCGAGATGATTTACCCGGGGAATTCTCCTGAGCACGGAAATAAGAAGGTAACCGAAGTCTAAATGACGAATTTATCAACTTCTTTGACCTCCATTGAAAAAACTTGCAGTTCTGTAAAGAGAGATCATGCGCGCATGAGACAGAATTGCTTTTAAAGTTTAAAGTGTTAAAATATAAGTGATTTTGTTCCTTCTATTAGTGATAATACAAGCAGTTTACAAGTCGAGTTCTAACCATTACGGACATAGCCTGTAGTATTCTTGTTAATCAATGTAACTCTGCTACCATAATCCAAGAGAAATGAAATGCTTACTTGTGACCTAAATGACTGGATCAGAATTTAGCTCTCCAAATAATTGGGCAATTCGTGTCACAAAAAATTAACTCGCTATTTCTAACTAAATGCTGATATTAATATACACTTCACTCAGCCGAAATCGGTACTTCTAATCCAAATACTCTCAGGCATAGGGACTATTCAACATACAAAATGAGGTATAAGGACTTGAAAAATATCACAAATCGAATGTCTATAAAGTAGCTCAAGTAGTCGTTTGAGTTAGTAGACTTCACTGTTTCGAAGAAAAAGTGAGACTTCACAGTATCTAGGAAAGGATTATAATGTCCTCCGAAGAACATCAGTCATTTTCCTGAAGTATCGCAGCGGATAGAGAAGTCTAAGACAGCTAATCAGAAGAGACAATATCGGCTAGTCACGGTTACAAAATAGACTACATTTCACCCTTACTGCAGAACAAATAATGCTATAACAGAAATAAGCTGGACAGAGACACCAATAAATATTACAAATAACGAATAGTTTTATTTAAAAATCACCTTGGAACCCAACCACAGTGGGGCAAACCGAATCATCAAACCTTTAAGCACGAGCGACCTTGGTGTTTAGAAGATTTACGGCGATATATTAAAACGAAATATATTGAGATTGCAGCTTTGGTGTATTACCCAATGTGATTATTATAATTTGGTGTGAATCAATCGATTTGTTTTCTGTTGCTTCTAATTTTGACGAAAAACACTAAATATTGAGTGGAAAGAATCAAAGCACAGTGTGTAATAAACAATGCATGTAGAAAATTGCATGCACTAGAATATAAATAGTGCATAGGTTTCTCAAGTCACCAACCCTAATTTCAAGCGAAATCGAAAATTAACATTTCCAAGACTCGATTATTTTTACCCAAAGATGAGGTTTTTATCATTTGTTTTCATCAATTTATTATTGAGCGATTTCCGGTAAATGAATTTCTGCTTACAATTGCAATTTACTTCACTAAAACGCGAATTTTAGAGCTTGTAATACTTACTGATTCCTTTTTCCTGGTTTCTACTGCTTGGGTTTTTTGAAACGATTTGTCATATGATAATTTAACCATACTCTTGTTCTCAATGTCTTGTTTCGCTAAAAAGACAGGTAAGACTGCATAACTCGAATACAAAATAATTAGAGATATGAGTATCGTGCATATTTTATTGAGTATTTACATCCAAAGATTGCCTCTAAAGTGACTGAAACGTTTTGTTGTGAACTACTGAAGGTCCCAGCAGTGATTCAGATTACACTGGACTTCAGGGAATCCAGACGTACTGTATGGTTCAGAATCAAGTAAATAAAATAATTAATTTGAACATGCAAGTAGTGGCTTTTCCGAATGTACCAGTACAACTAGTAAACTCAGTTGATTAACGGAAATGTATGAAAGATATACTAGTTAACCATAGTGATATTATTATTAGACGTATCGCTAAACTCATCAGTGGTAAAAAGTTTATATATTAGAACTCTTATTTCTAATACGAATGTAGAGAGCTATCCTAGCCAGTGTGTATACGCTGGCTTAGATTTACTGCTGTATGTCTATTATTCTTTGGCTTCAGAATACAGAGAGTGATGAAAGAAATAAGCAACATAAGAGCTATTTAAACGTCGTGAAGCTATCTAGAGGACAGTGCCAACAGTGTACGTCGCCCACCAATCTGATCGTAACTATGATTTCCATATTGTGTATGCGAATGGGTTAATCAAATAAAATAATAAGTTTATGCTATCGTCAAGTCGATCAAGTCTTCACCATCATACCGTTTGATACCTCGAAAAAGTTGCTTTTTAGAATTCTTTCCCTCTAAAAACCTACATAGAGATATCAGAGTGGCTTGTATTTTAAGCTTAAAATGGTCTGAAAGTAGATTCTGATGCCTCTATTTTTCAGTGCATCGACTCATGCGATAAGTGACATATATGGTCAGGTTTGTTGACAGAAATGTTCGGTTGACACTGGGCTGCTTTTGCACACATTAAACTATCCGGATTTCATCTCTAACATGGTGTTCTCTTACGTGGTTTTTTTCCGTTCGTAAACGTCATAAGTAAATAATTCCCAAATAATTCGACTAAGAGCTTAAACTATTTCTGCGGTCATGCAGCTTACTAGTATCACTACATCCTAGCTGTGTAGCTCACCTGACTGAATAAATGATATGTACTATTCTAATTCAGCTAGTTTGTTGGTTTATGTTCACAGCGAATGTGGCCGCAGCATGGTCTCTACTCAATATAAACATTTTGACAGACTTCCTAAGCTGGAAGCTGTTTTTTCGACAGAAGGCGACCTATTCTAGATTGCTTTCCGTCCGTAAGTTAAATCAGCCCCGCATTTCGGATATTTCGTTGAATAAACAGTTTGGTGTACCCGCTAATTCTTCAGACAAAAGAAAGAGAGAGTGAGCCATAGCTAAGAATATCTGGAAAACACTGAATAGGGTAGCAGTTAAATCAACTGAACTATCACTTCTTTGTTTGCATTGTTAATGTCAAGTGATGCAACCCCTGGTTGGGTATTGTCTTTCGACTTCTTTGAAGCTGTAGATGTGGGACTCTAGTCATCCAGCTAGCTTGATATGTAACTGCTCTGCAACCCATATATGATCTAAGTGGTTGTCACTGATATTCTTTTCGACCATCCTATTACTGTTACACACTGCTTCAACAGGCATAAGGCGACGATAAGTAAAAACTCAGAAATAAATATCTGAGTGAATTTGAGGGGCGTATGTGCAGTTAGCACCTAAAGTTTGTTTGTGCGTTTGAGGTCACGCACGGAACGCGGATACAGTCTCATTCTAGTCATTTAGTGTCGTGCGCACTGAGACAACACCAAATATATTTTAAATTTTCATGATCTGGAAAACCAGTTGGCTCAGTCTTCCAGGTGACCACTCTCCTTCATTTACTGACTACTATATCTCTTCTAGATATTGTCATAACAATCATACATAGTTCATGACATCTGAAAAATACAGAACATTTGTCTTTGGTTCGAGTCTACTACACATTTTTAGAAGTTTTCCTACTTTACTATACGCACCCTCAAGTAACTATAAAGACAACTAACCATTAAAACCAATATATATCATTTCTTCAGAGCCCGAACTAGCCTGGAGAATAATAGTAAAACCGACTCAGAACATATTATTAAATAGCTGTGTTGAAACTGGCTTAATATAGCTTTTCTCTTGTGTGAAAATTTCATTGTATGCAAACGTAGTATCTTTCTCCGTGTAGGAGACAGTGGTGGCAGTCCAGGAATCATGAAAAATCCTGTGTAGTTATTCTGATCCGATTGATTCTTTGGTTATATACATCAGCTTTCGTTAGAGCAGGCACCGCAATAGTTAAAATTTCGAAAGTACAGTTGGGGTAGTTTCATAAATGTATTGTTTCATGTGAGGTGAGCTAGCCATCTTGATTGAAAAGCACTAAACCTCTTTACTTTGTAAGTTCTCAGGTGGCATGAAGTACCTTGCTTCGGTTTGTCGCTATGATCCACCAGTCATAATTATTACATGACACAACGCTGAAGTATTTACACTTGGACTTAGAGCGACCCGAAACGACTACTGTCTACAAACTAGGACCTTTATTGCTAATCCAAACCAACCTGTTACGCATGCACGTAAACACGCCAACTTGATATGAGAAGACTGAGGCAGGCTCGATAGATTGTATTTAGCAAATTTACACTCTTTGTCAATTAATAACGAAAACATTACATTGAACACTCTATTTGCACACCATCTTTGAGTCCTGAATTCCAACGCTCCAGTCTTCTTCCATTCCTGCTGTTGCTTCCTTTACTTCCTGTCGGTACTTCATGCTTTTGCTCCATTTGCTTTCCGTTTTCCTATAGTGACTGTGAGAGTTCTTCTTTCACGTCCCTTCTTATACTACTTATATCGTTCGTATAAGTAGCACACACCACACTCGTCCCCCCTTTAACAAGTCGCTCTCTCAGCCTTTCTGATCGCCGTACGGCTGTCTTCTTTAGCAGTGTTTGTGGCTCGCCCTCTTGGCGCACTTGGAACCACCTTTGGAGTTCACTGGCATTCACGCGTTTCTGTTTGTTTCCTTTCTGGATCGTATACACTGCGCCGCGCCTCTCGGTGACGACGTACGGTCCCACCCACTTCGGGATCAGCTTACCTGACCCTAGCCCACTTCCTGTGGTATATTTCCGTTCTCTACACTTCACTTGGTCTCCCACTTCAAACGGCCTCCAGTTCTTTCTCTCCTGTTCTGACTTCTCCATGTCTGATGTTTGTTTCTCTCCCACATCCCTGATTGCTTGCCTCCGCTCTGTTCTCAACCTTGTTGTATTCCATCTCTGTTGTTGCGGTCAGGTTTTATCATGCGTTGGTAGTCTCGGCCGTCTGCTATACATCGGCTGGAACGGTGACTTCCTGGTTGCTCCTTGTGCTGAGGCACGATGTGCCAGCAAGGTTATTGGTAATTCTTTCTCCCAGTCACCCCTTGATATGTTCGTCACTTAGGATGCTTGAGGCTATTACGAGTTACCTTAGTCGA